ATATATATATATATAAGGGCAATGGCATTTTTTGTAATTTTTAGTTAATGGATCAGAGGTGTAAAGGTGGGTTTGGGTGAGCTGTCAAGCTTTGAGTGGCTTTGGATGCTGTTGACAACCTTTTGACAGTGATATTATGAATTACCCAGTGGTTCTATTGAAGTTTCACTAGTTCCAACGATAGACTGGAAACTGCTTATTTCTAGGAATTCCTCTAGCCATATCAAATTCCATTTTTGGGAAGGTTCTTGAGTGTAGTCGGCAAAAACAACACCTACACAAGATTTCGTGGGTTCCCCAAGCTTTGCATGAGATTTTGGAATATTTTTCAAGCAAAAGACAATCTTTTTCAACAGTTTTCAAGGCCATGGAACTTGTGCAGCCACCTTTGCATTGAATGTGATTGCAAGTTATTGATGGTGATCAAAACAACATCCCTGGTTGGTTTTTAACGGGATTTCAAGCCTCTGGTTATCATCAAAGGGTACCATTTCAAGAGTCAAGTTTACTTTCGTGTCTTTGCCACCCAACCTTTTCTAACGAAGTCAAGCAACATTGCCAACACCAAGCTTCGCCAAATGGGCAACGTTCACCAATCCATACTTGTCAAGACACTATTCTTATAGTTTATCTCGAGTAATTCCCATGAGCTTGGATTCATGGGCTTGTGTTTATCTGCAATGACAACAAGGCACATGTAAATATATGTTTAAGTATTTAAGTGTAAGAAATATATCAATACATGTAGCGAAGAAGGGAACTCCCTTGTGTATTGAAGGGGACGATGTGTATAGATATTCATTGTGCCCTTTTATTTGTTGGCCATGGCGAGTGCTAGTATATCGCTACTGTACATGGTTGGCATTGTGCCAAGGTAAAGAACAAGTGATATGGTTGTGTGCCACAATATCATTGTCTCGAGCCAAGCATCGTTGGTCGGTGATACCTACTAGCACGCAAAATATAGAAAATATGTGCTATGAGTTGAGATTATCGGCAACTAGTAATTTTGTCCCATTGTATAGAAAAATGATAATGTGCATGACTACCCACCATGTTGTATAAGTATTGTAGGGTCAACCATAAATAACTTCCCTGTAACTAGAAGGACAATAGAGGCTAACTTTGCCCATGGTTGGAGCGTAAACTATGTGGAATTGGAAGAGCATTTCGACTAATCTGCCAAGTCGCGAAGGGGTAAATTTCACTAAACCAGACTTGCCATAGCAATGATTATGAGATGGAGAGAGGCGGAGTTGTCTCCATGGAAGGGGGATGCCAGCCACATCCATGGCCTCTAATACGACAAGGTGTGATACCACTGAAAAATACTGGCCTTTCTTGCCGTACTCGCATTGTCAGAGGGTGGTCCTCATTGTTGTTG